TAGGGTTTAGGTTTAGGGTTTTGGGTTTAGGGTTTAGGGTTTAGGGCTTAGGCCGCTCAGGACAGCCAGGGTTGTGGCTTAGTAGTAGAGTAGGTAATCTTTAACCCCTATAAAATCCCGAAGTTTAGCCTTTAGTTCCCAACTAAGGTGGGGTTTTTGGGGGTTTAGAGAATGTAAGGTTTGGTCCTTGAGGGCGGCTGGGTGCTTGTAATCCTGGGATGGCCTCTCTCGTCGTTATCTTCAGATACTTTGGAGAGCCTTGGTCCTTTGCTGCTCAGTAGGGAACTTATGAACTTTTTGGGGACACCAGAAACCCCATTGCCGGTAAGTCTGGAACATGTATTTCCACCATCGCCCCGGAATATGCAGATAGCCCAGCTGCTTGACCACGATCTGTTTCGGAAAGTATACGTCTGCCAACCATGACATGCATTTGGGCCTGTCATCCTTCGAGCAGCTCACCGTTCTCATCGACGAGGCGGCGTCGGTCGGCATGTTTACGGGGTTCTCATGGACCAGATCGCCAACGTGGCTCTCTCCACGAGGGCCAAAGAGAAGCTGAGTGACAGGTTGGATGGCGTCAACCTGCACGAGATCGTGCACGTGCCACGGCCGGCCCGCTGGTGGTTATTTCCCGCTGCGCCACTTCTGTGTTGGAATATATAGTGGCGGCAGAGAACTCGGCACCTGCTTCTGGCTGCTTCTGGGTCAGAGGAAGCGACTTCCCTGGTCGTAAACTACGAGCCCGAAAGAAGTCCTAAGGAATTTCGAGCTGTAAACCCCGAACCCTGAACCCTAAACTTAAGCGAGCTGCGGGCTCTGCGAGGAGCAGCAGCGAGCGTGCCGAGGCGTCAGGCAAGGCCGGCTCTGGAGTTGCGCGACAGGCGCCACGGAGGAGCCCCAGCACTGGATACGAGTGCTGGCGCGCGCGACAGGCATGCTGGAACCTTTCGGATTAACATAACCCCGAAGGTTTTTTTGGAGGCCCCTGATGTTGCGCTGTGCCCTGGAAGCCTATGCACCGAGAGCCCTTGGACCCTTGAACGCCTCTGGCGGCACAGAACGTTTAAGAATGGACATTCTGGATGAATCGCCACCAATCTAAAGATTGCAGCCTCTAGCAGACTCTAGCAGAACATGATTCTAAACCCTAAGCTAGGCAGCCAAGGTTGCGATGTGAGTGGGTGGGTGGGTTGGGAGGGAACGCGAACCTAGTCGCAACAACACACGCCTTGCGCGGTGGTGTGTGTGTATGTGCGTGGACTATGCAAGTATGACACACCCTACACCTTAGACCCTAAATTCCGTGCCCGATTGGCCATAGGCCCGCCTTCAACGCTTAGCCCAAACCCGAACCCGAACTCAAGCCTTAAATCCAAAACCCCAAAACCCCTTTTAGTGTGCAGTCCGCAAGCCTTCAATCCAAAACCCCGAAAAAACCAATCCCCCCCCCCAACCCAAGTTCGTGGCCCGAAATCATTCCTGAGCCCTCCAAACCGAAGCTCGAGGTCCAACCGAGTGCCAAAGCGAACTCTTTTGGAGGCCCTTTAAACCGGGGATGCTCAGTGTAGAAAGGTCGAGGCTGTGGCTTAGGGCTTCGGGTAGAAGGATGGACATCAGCAAAAGAAGGGCGGCAAAAAGGAGTTGGGCTTAACAAGGGGTTGTGCCAGCGGCTTTTGGGGTTGTTAGGGTGGTGTTGAGGAGGTTTTCGAGGCGTCCCAAGATTCAGGCACTGACAGGTCCGGAATACTTTCAACATACAAGCGGAGGGTATTTAGGGAAGTTTGGTCGCAGTCAGTCTGTGAAGGAAAACCCTCAGCATAGATGCCCTGATTAGGCGTTAAGATTAGCCTCTTGTGCTCCTATATTCGGAGCTCCTAGCGTCAACAATCACGATGTGCCAACGTGCCACGGCCAACCCGCACAAGACGTGGTTAACAGTCCCTATAATCACCTAAGCCCTATGGTTTTTCAAGCCGAGCTCCCTCAAACCCAGAAGAAGAACTAAGCCCCTAATGTAATTCTGCAGACCAGGTCTAATCCCTGCTCCACAAGTCATTCGGAAGCAGCTCCCCCTGCAAGAACAAAGGCCACGCCAGGCACCCCTACATCAGCTTGCAGGAGAGCCTAGAAATATAAACGTCGCCGAGAAGCCGTCCAAAGTAGATAGACTCGAAACCCTGAATGAAGCCCTAAAAGCGTAACTCTAAACTCCCAAACCCTAAAGCCGCACACTCCGCCCTCCCCACCCCTCCTAACTCCACAGAAAGCCTGCCCCAAATCCTATAAATCTTGAGCCCCAACCTCCTACCCTGGTTGCAGCCCTTAAGGGAACCCGTAACTCGCAAGCAAAAGTGTTTTGGGGGTTCTTTTTGGGCTGAGGGTTGAGAGTTTAAACCCTACACACGAAGCCCTAAACCCCCCAGGCCGCGCTGCGCCCCCCGCAGCCGCAGCCAAGGTGCGCCCGACCCCGGCCGGGGGCCTCGGAGGGGCTCCATTTGGGAACTTAGGGGGGGAGGGGGACCGGGGGGTGGGGTTTAGGGTTTGGGTTTGGGGTTTGGGGTTTATTTGGGTATGGCTTTGTAGGGTTTCGGGTTCAAGGATTAAGGGTCTCGGGGGGATTTTGGGTTCAGGAGCTTATAGCTCGATGCAAGAGGTCAGTCTGCCAGAGAAGATGCGGCCGTTGTCGAAGTTGGCGTGGCGAGCTTGGCGTGGCGTCGTTTCTGGAGCCCGATCCCAAATTGGGTCGGCCTGCCGCGCCATCCTGCACCAGACAGTTCGGCCACTTGAGTGTTGACGAAAACCTTATAGACGCTTTGCGGCGCGCCGGTCGTAATTTCCAAACATTCTGAAGCCTCAGGCTTTACAGCCTGGCCATTCCTTAAACCCCAAACCCCAAGCCTGCGACCCTCAACTCAAAGCCCTGAACTCCATGAATCCCAAGACTCCCGCAAGTCCCAATGAACTTCATCCTTTGAAAGCCCCTTCAGAGAACTGAATCGCATCTTGAATTCCTTCAAGCTCCCTTAAAGCCCACTATCTCCCCTGAAACCCTGAGCTCCCTCCTCCCTAAACCCCATAAACCCTAAACCCTAAACCCTAAACCCTGAGTCCAAACTCCCTCGAAGCCTCATGGACCGCCGGGCTGTAGCCCTTAAGGGAGCCAATTTTCTGTTTGGGTTTTACGGGTTTAGGGTGTAGTTAAGGGTCTAGAGGGTGTAGTCAAGGGTCTTGTCTCCTGAACCACCCTCGGCCCCCTAAAGCGCCTGAGCAATAGACCCGCGGAATGCCTGACGCCGCTTAAGCCCTCGAAAGCATCTTGAAGCCTGTTAGGGTTTAGGGTCCAGGATTTAGGGTTTATAGGGTTTAGGGTTTAGGATTTAGGGTTTTTCGGTTTAGGGTTTAGGCTTTGGGCTTTAGGGTTTAGGGTTTAGGATTTAGGGTTTAGGGTCTTCTCTTCAGGCCTGAGTGACTTAGCGTTGATGCAGAGTTTGTCGTTGTAAGCGCTTCGGCTGCAAGCGGCAGAACACAAGCCCTATAGACCTTCAAGACCCTAGACCCTATTTTAGGGCTGGGCTTCGTAACCCCCCTAAGCCCTCAAAATCATGTAATTCGAAGCTCCGTGCAGCAGTGGCTCCAAGGCGCCAGGGCGCGCCACGGATTCGACGCTGCCCAACGGCCTCAGTGGAGCCCTGTGAGACGACTGGCATACATTGTCATGAGATTATACGTTAATATGATATGTATATATATATATATATGTATGTATGTATGTATGTATGTATGTATATTTATTCTATGATCGAGATTTCTGCCAGGTGGCTCCACAAGGGCAGCAGCGCTGCGGAGGTCCAAAAGCCAGGATGCGCGGCAGATGCGACAGGCATCTCCCCGCCCTCAGGCGCGGGAACGGCAGCCGTCACCACGCGCCCAGAGACCCGAGCAGACTTCTCCGCGTCCCAGACAGGCATCACCACGCCCAGTACCCGTGACACGGGAGCCCTTGAAGGAAAGACAGAGCTCACCTCGCCCGCCCGTGACTGCGCGAGAGCGGCCCAAAGAAAGGCAGCCCTCTCCCCGCCCAACAGGGGCCATGACGACGCGTGACCAACCCATCGTTCGCGAACGGCCCGCTCCGCGAGACCGTAGCTCCGGCGCGTCCTACCGCCCGGATCGCGCGCCCAGCACCCCCCAACGCGGACAACTTGCCAGATCCCAATCTGCACGACGGTCACTGGATGGCCCGAGCACCGACCTTTTGACCCGCAGCATGTCCCGGGGCCCCTCCCAACGCAGCGGGACGCACCTGGGGCTGCGCTCGCTGGTGAGCTCCTTGCTTCAACTAATCATAAGCATCTCCATCCCTTTGTAGTCCAAAGACATTCCCTTGAATTGAATATGAAGACGATTGAGACTACAGAAAATGCCCATTCAAAGCATATCGGCCCGGATATTAGCACGTCGCGTCTTTGGGGTGTGAGGATTCTGCTTGGGTGTACTTTTCACTCTGAGGACGTCCTTCGGCTGAGGTTTAGTAGATCTTTGTGGGCTTGGGGCTCCCCAGTGTCGCCTGCCTCGGTGTGGGGCGAAATATTTCCCTCCCGCCCCCAGAAGTTCGTGCGGGCAACATTCCTCACCTTTACATGGGCACTGTTACTGTTACTTCACACTGTTCCACAGTACTCTAGGGGTCGGACTACAATGGTATTTTGTTATGGTCCATTTGTAATTTTACGATAATCGCCCCCACAACTATTTTCTAAATGACAAGTACCCCGTATTACTCTTGCTGTCATACCAGAACGATATCGACGGAATAAGTTTGACAATTGTGCAGCTCTTTACTGTCTACCGATCACATGTATTTTCAGTGTTAGGGCTTATGATACCACTAGCTTCGGTCTGGGGAGTGCTATCCTTAAGGCAGCTGTAGCCGTCTTCAGACTCAGGTCTCGACCCTAATGTCCAAAAGGCTATGAACAAAACTTAAAAATTTCCTCATGGTGGGCAGCTTTGTATCCATCAGCTCACTGCCACCATCGCTCATGCCCTTCAGAGAGATATTGGATCGGATAGTCTCACTGATGCTCAAGAATGTGATTCCCCATCTTTTCCCGCTTCAATTTGCGCTGCGTCTTGCCTTGACTCGACATTCCGCAATCTAGGGCTAGGGACTCGGTCTTAAGATTTAAGGGCAAGTTGTAATTGAGGTTCCAAGAGCGCTTCTACGTTGGCTCGCGCTCCGGCAGCTACAGGCACTTCCCGTTCTTCCGGTCTGGGTTCTGGGTCGGAGCGCGCATGCAGGATTTATGGGGTGAGGGCGTCAAGGTTTTGCAACAGGGGATTTCAGGGTTTAAAAGGTTGGTGTTCGGGTTTGGGTTCTATCGAGTTTAGGTTTCAGGTTGCCGTTTTGGGCGTCAGGTTCTGGGAGTCAGTGCACCTGTTCGCTGCAGCAGAGCCTTGCGTCGCTTTGCAGCCGCAACGCCGGCCTTTGATTGACAAGATGCCCTTGCAGCTCGCTGACAGAGCGCCTGCAGATGAGCCCTTCGCCACCATATGTGATGCTCTTCATGCTCGCTGGCTTGCCGCCTTTGCCGGTTTGAAGTTTTCGCACTATGCATGGCTCGCAGCTGTTGGGACTTGCCAGCGTTGAGTAGAAATTAGGGCGTAAGCTTCCCTACCAGGATCCCTTAAAGGGCACGTGCAGATATCTACAGATCTTCTATGGAGACATGGAGCTTAAACCATAAGGCCCGAAACCGCAGACTCCCATATTGGTGGCAAAAAACAACCGTACACCCTAAACTCCAAACCCAACGCCACTCCTTCCCCCCAACCCCATATTGGTGCCACTAAACCCTGGACCCTGAACCCTGAACCCTACCTTCCCCCCCCCCCCTCCCCCCCAATTGAAAACACAAACACAAATCAGCCACTTAAAAGCTCCCGAAACCGAAGGGGGTTTTTAGGGGTTTAGAGGCCCTAAGTCCCAAGAACCCAGCAGTGCAGCCTCGTGGAAAGGTCCTCCGAACCCCACAGCCGAGCTCCCATCGGTGGAGGACGGTTGTTTTGCTTGAACCTAAGCCCGAAACCCTACACTTTAAACCCCAGGCCCCAAGCCCGAAACCCTAAACCCAGGCCCTGAACCCTGAACCCCAAAACCCGATGAGGATCGCCAAAACAAAGCAGTATACCCTACATGCCCTCTTCGGTTCGGAAGGTCTCTTCCCTCCTCAACTTTAACCCTACGGATCCAGGTGTTTCAATAGGTAGCACCTAGGCCCTAAACCCTAAACCCTAAACCCTAAACCCTAAACCCTAAACCCTAAACCCTAAACCAAAATGGGTCTAGCCCTCAACCCCTGAGTCGCCTTAAGTACCGTGACAATCACAGGGATGCATTTGCTCAGCACCCAAGTTTCCCACAGCAAGTACCTCCTGGCAGCCGGAGGAAGACCCACAAGCCTTGGGCCCTTTTAGGGTTTAGGGTAACTGGGATGCCCTGTAGGACCCGTATTCTGGGTTAGGATCCCTTCCTAACCAGGTTCAACCCCGAAACAGGAGTCATGCATGGGCACCTTTTCTTGCCTAAACCCTAAACCCTAAACCCTAAACCCTAAACCCTAAACCCTAAACCCTAAACCCTAAACCCTAAACCTGGTGTTTGCTTGAAATTCCGCAGAGGGTTCGCTGAGCCTAGGGTCTGAAGTCTTCAGTGTCGGACTGCGGGTTGAGGCTCGTGTGGCCTCCCTGTGGCCGCAGTTCTAAGCATCTGTACAGGTGCATGTCTATACCTACGTATACATATACATATACAAAAGCATAGACATATACGTCTACTTGCAAGTACATCTTATGTATATATCTTTATCGGCATATGATATATACATGTTTATGTATTTATTTATTCATGTATTTGTTTATTGATTTATATGCTTTCAACATAAATGTATATACATATACACCTCACTCTCTCTCTCTCTCTATCCCTCGGCGTTTGTGTCTGTGGGTGTGGTTGTTGTGGTGTGGGGTCGTTGTTTACTTTTTCCTTTGTGCTACCCTGCCCTGCCCCGCTTCTGTGTCCAGACCCCCATTGACGATGCGTATGCCACACTTCTACTGGTAGCAGTCACAGGAGCTGAAGCGAATGATCGAGGAGACCAAGAAGGAGGTTCGGTTTGGGGTTCAGATCCTTTGAACCTGAAAGGTTACATTTGCAGTGGTTTCTTGCGGGTTCAAGTCAGCGGAACTGCTGCCGCTACAAACGGCCTAGCTACCTCCTCATCGGTTAATGAAGCTTAGGGCATAGGGTTTAGGACTGTCAGAGATCCAGTTTGGTATCCTTTACCACACATATTTGGCCTATTTTGTAGCCTAGGGTACAACTACCCCTAAAAAGCCTAAACCCCGAACCGGGTATGCTGCGCGGCCTGGAAGACGCTCAGCACCCTGCTCCAGTCAGGTGAGTCTTTCCCAAAGCAGGGACCATGGACCTACCTCTTATATACCCCAAGCAGAGATACCATCCGCTACTTCCACAGCAAGGATTGGAGGCCCATCGTCCGTTGCTATGGAACATGGTAGCCCGTCCCTGAAAATCCCTAAGCCAACAAACCCAACGAGTAACACTTAGCCCCAACCCTGAGCTCTAGACTCAGCCCTCTAAGTCCTGAACCCGAAACGCCTTACATCACCAGCGGGTAGTTGGGGCGCTCTTGCCGGAAGGTTCGGGAGATCCGCTCAGCTGGAGCCCCGGCTGGCGTCTCTTCGACCCCAACTTCCCTAAGCTCTTGGAAACGCCAGAAGCCCTTGGCCCAAAACACGAAGCTCTAAACCCTGGGCCCCGAAACCCCCCAAAGCCCCATAAATCCCATAAGCCCCGTAAGCTAACCCCCGTAAATCCCACAAGCCCCATGAGCCACTGAACCTTGACCCTGAAGCCTCAAGCCCTACACCCTCAAGCCAACCCTCACGCACACCCGAACGGCATGTTTTCACAAATCCTCCGATGTCCCCTCTTCAGGGTTAGGGTTTTAGGGTTAAAACTCAGGGCCCCGCCCCTGTGAAACGGGACCACCCGCACATCTCATTTGGAAGTTCCAACAAATTTAGGATTTAGGCTTTGGGGTTCAAGGTTTTTGGCGAAAGGGTTCAGTTCCAGAGGATCGCAGTGCTTTTGGGTGGTCAGGATTTCAGGGTTTAGGGTGCGGGGGTTTGTAGGGTTTCTTTGGTGGCTCAGGCTCAACGGGCTTTTAGGTTTTAAAAACTCGAGATTAGGGCTTTTAGGGCTTGTAGGGTTTTTAGGGTGTTAGGGTTTAGGGTTCTTAGGGTTTAAAGATTGTCGAGTTTAGGGCTTGTAGGGTTCAGGTCCTAAATCCTCAGCCGCCTAACCCCTAAACTCTGCCCCCCGAGGTGGAGTCAAAAGCCAAGTGGCAGATGACGCGCGAGGAGTCGAGAGCTTTAGAGCAGTGACCCTAAATCAGTTGGGGACTTGGGTTTGTTGGGCCCGGGCTTTCGGGTTTTAAGGGTCTGAGATCTGAGACCTAACCGGGTTTCGTACGCTTTCAACAAGGGCTCCCATTGCCACAGAAGCTGGTTCGGAAGACCTTCGCTTGCAGAGCCAAGTCAAACACATCCTCCCGAAATAGACGAGCTTAGGGTGTTTCGGGTTTACGGTTCAGTTGTGAACCCGGAGTTTCTGTGGAACCATGTTTATGGTTTTCGGTTAGTAGGATTGGGGGGTGGGTGGGGAAGGGGGGTTGCCGTATCCTCCGCAAAAACTCTGAACGCAGTTAGACCTTCCAAGTTTTGAGGACCTAAACTCTAAGCCTTAAAGCCCTAAACCCCAAACCTCAAACCTAGCTTACTCTGAATCCCGAAGACCTAAACCCTAAACCCCAAACTCAGACTCTAAACCCTTGATTCATCGTAGTAGCAGGAGCGTCGGGAGAAGTTGGCCGAGACGGTGGCCGCCCAAAGTGAGCTGCGCGAGTGGCGGTGGAAGCAGGCGCTGCTCTGAAGCTACTGCAACCTCGACTCTAAGCCCTGAGCCCTCAGGGATTTAGGATAATTTACGACTTTGAAGGCCCCTAAGGGATTCTTAGGGGTCTCAGGGTTTTGAAGGGGCTCTTCTGAGTTTAGAGCTTTGACGGGCTTGAGGGCTTGCGGGTTTTGGGACACCGGGGCTTTGAGATTCTGAGTGCTTCTCAGGGGCCTGCCTTCTAAGCTAAACCCTAAACCCTAAACCCTAAACCCTAAACCCTAAACCCTAAACCCGCGGAAGGCCCAAGGCTTGAAGGAGCTGGCGGCACAGCAACTCAGCGCCCCACTGGTTCCGAGCTGGTTCTTCGAAGTTTGGATTTGGGAATTTGGGGTTTAGGGTTTAGGATTTGGGATTCAGGGTTTAGGGTTCAGGATTTTGGTGGGTTTATCGGGGTTTATAGAGAGGTTTTTAGGGGTTTGGGGGGGGGGGGGGGAGTAGGGCTTACAGGGGTATGTGGGTTAGAGGGCTATACGGGGGCTTATGCTGTTTGCGGTTTTACACGGCTGTGCTGGGTTATATCGAGCTTATCGGATCGAATGTGGGACCCGCAGTAGTCCCGCCTACAAAAGAGCCTTGAAAGCAGATACTGGCAGGCCATGGGCGACAATCGCGATGTTTGGTGGGGGGGGGGGGCATCGTTTTGTAAGGAATGCGAATGAACAGCTGCCAACGGTTTGCCCTGGCTTCTTCGATCCCATTCGCCCTACCCCTTTTCCTAAACCCACACGGACCCCAAATGTCAAACATTCCAACTGCTGTGGCACATTCTGGTATGTATTATCGCAACTTGTAGTGTGTTTGGTATATTCGAAGGTCCAGGGGGGCAGAACATGTCCGCGAAGGATGAGCCCTCAAAGCTCAGAACCCGAACCCCACAAGCTTTGAGCCCTAGACCCCAGACCCTTTGAACCCTGCACTCTACTTCCTCACCTTGCGTCTTTGACCCCCCCATGTAAGTTCGGGAAATAATGAAGGAACCCTATAAACTCTAAACCCCGAACCCCAAAACTTCGAAGCGAACGTCTGCGTGCCACGAAGCGACAAGCCAAAGCCGAGGCAAGTGCAGGCTGCTCGAGCCCTGGACCTGAAGGCAGCAGCGACTTGGGTGGCCGTCGGGGCTTAGGGCTCAGGGATGCAAAGGGTCTAGAGTTTAGGGGTCAGGTTTGTGTTTTTCAGGGCTTTTTTGGTCTGGCTTGTAGGGGTTTGTGATATTGCGTTTGAGGTTTTAGTTGGTTTTGGCTGGGTTGAGATTCGGGGTTCAGGGTTGATTATGTTGGGGAATTCCGGGCTTAAAAGGGGCGTTTCAAGGTCTTGGGGCTTTCGTGGCTTTAGAGTTCTAGGCATTTAGGGGTCCGGCGGTGTAGGGTTTTTAGGAATTGCATTCAGGTTTATGGTTTTGGGGGCTAATGATAATAGCTAACTTTGGGGTCGAACGTCTACACGACTTTTTCTGGACATTTGGAGGCTCTGGACTTAGGATCATCCTGTGCAGTCGCTTCATGGAAGCGCTAAACCTGCTTCGTGTGAGGAGTCCAGGGATAGCCCACGCCGGTACCTCAAGCCTTTCGTCTTCAATGTCTGTAGTAACCCAAAGCCCTGAAGCCTTGAAACCCAAAACCCCTCAACCCGCCTTGCAGGAATCGAAAGAGTTCGTGGAGTTTAAGCGCGAGGCGAAGCTGAGGACTGCCCACGAGCTTCGAAGCCCGAGGTCTCAAACCCGGATCTACTCGTACTGCGAGGTTCGTGTTCTAGGGCTTTTGGGGTTCGAAGCTCTGACTGAGGGCTTCGAGTCTACGTGCCCGAACTAGACTTACAGAAACCTAAACCCCAAACCCCAAACCCTTAAACCCTAAACCCTTCAACCCCAAACCGAAGCAGAGGACGAAAGAGGTGGAGCTGCAACACCAGCAGGAAGCACCTGGCTCGGCGAGGGTTTTTTGGAGGGGTTGGGGGGGGGGGGGGGGGTCGACTCGGAGTTAAATTTGGGCAGCTTCGTAGAGTCCAGGGTTTAAGTTGTTTAGGGTTTAGGGCGTAGGGTGCAGGGTTTAGGGTTTAGGCGGTTTAGGGTTTAGGGTGCAGGGTTTGCGGCTTTTAGGATTTAGGGTGTAGTCATGTGGTTGTTCAGGGCTGCGCCACAGGATTTCGAAAAAGTTCCAATCCCTCCAAGAAGCGCGAAACCCCTACCCCTCCCCTTCCCCCCCCCCCCCCCCAAAAAAAAAAAATAAACGAAGCAAATAAAGGAAGATCCCCTCAACTCTACATCCCTAGTCAGCCTCACAGCTCCAAGGCCTCCCAAAGGTGAGGAGATTCCCAGGAAGTAAGCCGGACTTTGGGCCCTTTTCTACCTTCCTCCCCCCGCCGCCCCCCCCACCCCCCACCCCTAAACCTTAGTTCCGTGTACTGGTCCCTGGAAAACTCCCCGACACCTCTGTGTACCCACCGAGGTCTACGTCACCCGCAAGGCGGATTCGGCTTGGCAGGTGGAGCAGGCAAGGTGTTTGAGGGCTACGGGGGGGCGAGCGGACTCGGTCAGGGTTGAGGGTGCTAGGGGAGAAAAGACCTTGGTTTAGGGGGCTTCAGTTGAGTTTAACCCTGAGGGGTGCTAGGAGGCCCATTAGCTCATTAGTGCCCAAATAAAGCCTCAACCCCAAATCCTTTTCCCTCTTGCTTGGGTGAGGACCCCTGACAAGCCAGATATGAGTCGGTTGTAGGCTTTGGAGCATGGGCGGGGATCCGGTTCAGGCTTACTTGGGGGGCTATTTGGAGGGACGAGAAAGTTTGGTTGAGGTGCAAGTATGGGATGGGGGCTTTATGTAAGTGCCTAGAGTCCGAGGCGCACGTTCACGAAGCCCCTGAACCCTAAACACTAAACTCTGCCTTGTCGTTGAGAGCCAATTTCAAGCAGAGAAAGACAGCCACCAGGCTAAAGCCAACGTGGAGAAGGAGCAGGTTGGATTCCAGCGTGGGTTTCGGGTGTCTAGGGTTTCGGATCAGGCTCAAGGTTTGTAGACTGCCTGCGGCTTCACGAGACCTTAGCTGTTTCTTGGGCGCCTTGGTGTCTGAGCGGTTTAGACCAAGAGGGGCACACACACACAAGGCAAACAACCAGCAAAGCGGACTATTGAAGGGCTATTCAGGCTCATTGGGGCTTTAAAACTTTTTTTTGGATTTGGGTTTAGGGTCACAAGCTTTGCTCTTCATCTTAGGCCTCGGGTGCAGAAGCCCTGCCCAGCTCGATCCCAGAGATTCCGCAGAAAGACGCCATGCCAACAACCAGCAGGAGAATAACAACAACAGCAGAAGCACAGATACCAGATGAATGCAAACAGTACAACAAGTTCAAGACCCGGACGCATCCCGTGCTCTCGCAGGCCCTCATTCTCGAAAAGGTGGAAGACGTTCACCATCTTCGGCAGGCCTCCCACCCTGAACTCCTGAACCCTAAGCATAGAAGCTTAGACAGACTGGCCTCTCCCAAATGTTTGCAAGAGCAAGAGACAGCTCAATCAGGGTATTCAGGGTTCAGGTATCTACGGTTTATGGTAGGGCTTTGGTCTCAGCATTGCAAATCGAACCCCAAGCTTGGCACTGGGCGTTGACAGGAGAGGCGCTTGTCATCCGAGACTGCCAAAGCGGCGGCGGCCGAGGTTGGGGTCGGCCACGGATTTGGGGATGTGGTAGTATGGTACAGGGCAGTTTGCAGGAAGTTCCCTGTTGCTTCTCATACAACCCTAGTTGCAGAAACTATTGGAGAAGGTTGAGAAGTATACCTAAGCGTAGGAGTTCGCCACGACGCCGGAGTTGGAGCTTAGTCCTGGGTAGCCCTGCACCCCAAACCCTAAATCCTACACACCCTAAACCACCCTAAGCTGTGGACCTTACAGGCCCTCACAGTGGAGCCTAAGCCTTCGGGATATGACTGGAAGGTTGGGTTCGATGCTTCTGGTTTGGGGGCTGTGAGCTGACCCTGAGTAGGTGCACGTTACCGGAATTGAGTGCCCTAAAGCCGAGTGCTTTCTACTTGCCCCTGCCTATGCTACTAAAGCCCACATAGGACTAATGGCAAGGCCCTGAACCCTCAACCCGAAGCCATGAGGAATCCCGGTATTAGGTGGCATCGGAAGTCGTGGAATGATGGTTTCACGGGACTGCCCTCCCCACCTATGAGTACCCCCGTCAGAACACCTTAACTATATAAGCCTTATGGGCCTTTTTCTACAGGACCCTTGAAGTTCTCAATTCGCCTCATGTCTTTGAGCTTGGTGGCTTGAGACGGTTTTGCGGTTGAATTGAATGCTTACAAAGCCTACGCTTCGTTCGGGCTTAGGGGCCCCCAAAAGAGGGCGCCACTTAAGCTCTAAACCCTATACCCCGAGAGCGGTTGGCAGGAGCGCGCTCTGCAAGAGCACCTGCAGATCGCGAACCTTGCCCGTGAGCTGGCCAAAGAGAAGGCGTGCCGCTTAAAGTCTTAGGGGGTTTAGAGTTTAGGGTTGAGGGTTTAGGGTTTAGGGTTTTTAGGGCTCATGGAGTTGAGGGACGTAGGAAACTCTGTAAACCCCATAGGCCCATAAACCCTACATACACGTGTAGATGTAAATACGGCCTAAGCCCCACAAACACTGTTGACCCTGCAAACCCCATAAACCTTGCAAACCCTACACACCCTGTAAACCCTACAAACCCTAACTCTTAAAGCCCGAAGCCCTTAGGGTCCGACCGCCTTTTTCACACTGTGCCTGCATTCAGTGAGCTGTCGGGCTTACCGGGGTCTAGGGGTCGAGGGCTTGGGGTTTGTTTAGGTTTAGTCAGGGCTTAGGATCTCAGTCTGCCGCTTTGATGGCTTAGGGTCCCTTGAAATACGAAACCCTACAAACCGAGAGGGATATGAAGCCATTCTGGAGAGGGATCTAAGTTGCGGGTCCTTCTCGGGGTCCTCAACTGTTGTCTGTTCTTGCAAATCCCTGCAATCCCAGAACCTAACTCCCCAAAAAGCCCTAAAAAAAAGTCCCAAGCCCAAGACCCCTAAACCCCCAAACCCTAACCTCCCCAAAAGACGGCAGAGCACAGGAGCGTCTGCTCGAGAATCTCGAGTTGACCCGCGCCTGCATGCAGGCTCCCGTCAGGCCTTGGGACTCCGAGTGCGGGCTTTGGGGATCTGTTTTGGATCTGGGGGTTCTGATGAATTTCAGGATTGAGGGTTCAGGGATGCGTGAGAAGGGATTTAGGGCCCAGGGAAGTATTGGTGCATTGGTTTCGAGAGTTTATTCAAGATTTGGAGAAGCCAGGGTTCGGGATTTGGGGGGATGTGGGGTTGCGGGCTGTTGGATCTGTGCCGCCCTGCTCGGAGCAATATTTTTTTCTGCAGATGCTGTTGTCAGGTTGAATCAGGCACAGGAGGACCGCCATGCCTTAACTGACGACCTACACTCATGAAGCTCAAAACCCCAAAACTAAACCCCCATGCAGACTTTCAACCCCAGACTTTACCATCCTGAAGACTCAACGAGTGATGCAGCGGGATGTACACACATCGCAGTGGAGTAAGTTGTCTGTCTTTTTTCTCGGTTGAGGGTCGGGTGCAGGGTTACGGTCCAGGCTTTAGGGCCATTAGTCTAATCCGTCGTAATCCCTGAAGCCCTACATCCCTCGACAATCTTCAAGTTCAAGGTTGCATGAGAACCCCTAAACGACCTAAATCACGATGCTTCCCTACATAAGTCCCAAATCTGAAAAGCTTAGCTTGGGCAAGTAGAGGCCTTGCAGTTGAGAAAACCCTGATGTGATTCCTTCATATGAAGCTGGAACAAACTGAGTTTGGGAGTGATTTGGGTTTAGGGCAGGGGGATCCACGCTCTGCTTCCTGGAGAGGGCAAGGATAGAAGTCTATGATTCCATTAAAGCATCGTTCCAACATTAGACCCCCTCAAAACCCCGAACGCCTGAAACCTACAACGACCTGTGCAGGCGAAGATAGCCGTTGTTTTTTTTGCGGGAGCACACCATGCACTTTGTCAATGTCTGGCGGCTCGCCTGGGATATGGGACATGCGCTCTTTGCTCATGGTGCATAGCTTGCTGGCGTGATACATGCATCTTGGAATGTTCCCCCTTTTCCTAACAGCCCTAAATAGGGAGTATTTTTTAAGGGGCTGCACCCATTGGCGGGCAGCGCAGGCAGAAGCTCGAGGAGAGTTGATTATTATTTTGGCTGCCGCCAATGCCACTGCACGCGCGTGCGCGCGCACTTCGACAGGGTTAGCTGTAGGCTTTCATAGCCGGAAACGCGCGAGTTTGGCGCCGGGGTCTATAAGGTCAAAGCCATGACCTTTCAACCCTATGGGTGCTGAGCGGGGACCCGCAGCCACGCCGAAAGAAAGGCTATCCGCCCATGAGCCATCATGTCAGGCTGTCGACCCAAGGCTGGAGCCGCTGATGCTCATGATGCGCGTGGTTTGGGGGAAACCAAGGCCGCTGATGCTCACGATGCACGTCCCCGGTTCCTGGACTGAACCGGCTGATGCTCATGATGCGCTCCCTTTGAGGGGGGTCCGTGGCTAGCCCAAAAAAACACGAAACAACACGAAAACCCAACAGACCAATCCACCATCAAGCCCCTGAAGCCGTGCGACAGTGGGGCGGTTGGGGCGGTTGGGGCGGTTGGGGCGGTGGGAGGGTTTGGGCATACGTTGAAGACCTTCAAGAAGGTAGCTGGGTGGGTGGGGGGGTGTTGGCGGATTCCAGGCGGGTACCATAATCCGTATCAAGGATTGTTAGTTTAAGGCAAGTTTAAGGGGGAACATCCCAATGCATCGATACAACCCTAAGGTGCAAGCCTGGCCCCAAGTATGACGTGTGACCCGCAGAACTCTCTACACCATGCCATTGTATAAGTACATTGCCTTGGTTTCTGCAACATCTCATAAACAGTCGCCCAGTGATTTCTTGGTGTCCTGACTGTCCCTCTAACGTGTGAGCCGCAGAATTTTCTACACCGTGTCAGTGTACAAGTAAACTGACTTGGTTTCTACAACACTCGATTTCATACGAGGGACGCACAAAATTTGTTAGGAGAGTGCAAGGTCGCGAGGGGCCCCTATCGCTTTACGTACTATGGGACTGCGGGACCCCCATGTTATTGCTTTAGGTGGCGCCCATATTGCTTTCCATGGTTTATTGATATTCGCAACAACTGGTGTCCACCGTAGTACTGGCTTAGACAAGCAACTCTAGGCAGGCGCTCATATACAGTTGCCCAGTGATTTCTTTAGTGATAATGAGAACGCCAAGAAATCAAAATTAGTCAGTGTTGTAGGAACCAAGTGAACTTACCTGTACAAACACATGGTGTAGGGAATTCTGCGGCTGAGAACATATAGGAACAAAAAGGCACGAGACAATCATCGAGTCACGAGGCAACCGAAAATGTAAATAGTTTTGGAGGAACCAAGTAAATACATTTCTACACGAATTCTGTGGCACACACAAGTTAATTAAGTAAAATACCGCAGGTGAAGAAACGAAGACATTAGAGTTATACTATACAAGAACGAGTGATAGCCATGATTTGATTCCGCCCTACTGTGTACCTCCTTGGTGATTCCATATAGTTTCTGGAAATACAGTGACCACAGTCCAACATAAGACGCATACTTCAATAGTAATTGCATACACACACACACAAAACAAAACGAAGTTTATACGCGGAAGCCGACACACAATTGAAAGTAGAACTTCTGGTTCGTGCAAGCATAAATTAAATATACACTTATATCAAATATTGATATTAGGTCGTTTAAAGTGGAAAGAAACGCTCAAGGCTAAATAAACCCTAAAGGCGGCGGCTATGAAACCCCCCCCCCCCCCCCCTTCGTCCCGCACCCTTGAAACCATAAGGACCCCTGAGTCATGAGGCCCCTGCAGCCGGCTACCACGCACATGCCGTGGTGGACAAGTTTCGGAAAAAGGGAGTCTTTTGGGAGTGTTTAGGAGTTAGGGGTCTAGGGTGTATAAGTCACATTATCCCTATGACGCGTGAACCACAAATATCCCCAAACCATGTGCTTGTATAAGTGATGTTCTTGGTTCTTGCAGCACACTAATTTACTATACGGCTGCTCAGCAATTTAGGGTTTAGGGTTGAGGTTTGTTTTCGGGATTGAGCAACATTTAGCTTCAGGAAAGGATTCCAGAGCTTTTTGTTTTAAGCAAGGTTGGGTGCCTAAGTAATTCAGTAGCTAAAATGGCTTGAGTCAACTGAGCTCCCAGGTTGCCGGCTTAAGGCTGAAGTTTAGAAGGTTCTTATTTGAGGGGCGTTGCGGGTTTATAGTGTTAAAGGGTAACCCTACGCCCTAAATTCCCTACTACCGACGAGCTTTTTCGGTGCCGAGGTTACAGGGCGCAGTTGCGCTAGGCTTCGGGGTATGGAGTTTCACAGTGAGTCGCTGCCTTGCTTGCCGACTGCGGCTCAGCGTAGAAGGTTACTGACCCCTCAGATTTCATGACTGAGATCATTGAGAAGCCCCCGCAGAAACCCTGAAACAGTCAGGGTTTAGGGTCCTACCCTGACTCTTCCTGACCCTCCCCCTTTTTTTTGTCCAAGCAGTTTAGGAACCATCGCCTCAACTCCCAGAAATCCTATAAAGCCAAAGCCTTCGGAGCAGAAGCGCCATGGCTTCCGGCTAGATGTGGGAGGAAGATGGCGGGGGAACACGGATCGGATTTCAAGGAGGTCTTGAGGGCAAGCCCTGAAGGTGATGGCACCCTGAGGCTCTCCCCCCCCCCCCACAAAAAATTAAAGATAGAAAATAAAGCCTCCTAAACTGAAGCCCTAAAATCCTAAAACCTTCATATAACCCGACCAACGCCCCCTCCTGGTTCGGACTTTGGCGTTTTGGGTTTAACGAGGTTTAGGATGCTTCCGTTCGGGTTGCTGGTTTTTGGGGACCCCTTTCACCACGGACCATTGCAAGTCTGGCCCTCTAGCTTGTGGGCCCTCTGCCACTGGTCCCGTATCTGGTCGATGTTCTTTCCTTTTGTTCTATCCAAACTTGGGGGCCTCTACTTGGCGACTCGACATGCTCTGTTTGTGTACATGGAGGCCGTATGTTTCAAGCCGATTATTGCACCCAAGGCCCTTCAGGTTTTATAGGCTAAGGGGCTACTAAGCCACCAGAGCCATAGGCGAAGTCGATCTGCCGGCATTTTCTGCAAGGCCGCCTCGGGTTCGGGGCATGGGAGTTGGCCCTTCTTTGGGGTTTAGGGTTTGGGGTTTTGGGTTTGAGGTTTAGGGTTTGGGGTTTAGGATTTGAGGTTGGGATGGCTTCTGATAGGCAAGGTTTGAGAGTCCAACCCCTAAGCCCCATAGCACCTACAAGCCCTTATCTGAAATTTCAAAGCCGCTGTTGCAACCCTAAACGCCCAAGCCAAAAAGAGCCTCAAATCCAAATGCTGAGTTTATAAAGCCTCTTGGCAAGCCAAATCCCCTAAAACGCTACCCGCCTGTAAACACCATCAAACCCTGTAAGCCCTTTCGCGGTAGGCCCTTGGGACATTTTGCAGTTTCCCTTCGTGGGTTTAAGAGGATCATATTCAGGAGTATCTTCTCAAAGGGTGTGTGAGGACCATCCTATAGCTTCGAACCCTGAGTCTGACGTTATAGAGGCGGAGCCCCGCCTCAAAGCCAGCCAAAGCCATCCGATCCCAGCCCTTTGGTGGGGGTTTCGTTTCGGGTTTATGGGTTTCCGGGCTGAACGGCTTGGGGCTGAGGGTTTAGGGGCTTTAGGGTTTGGGCTTAGGGTTTATGGCTTGTGGGGTTTAGGTTTTTTAGGTTTTAGGGTTTGGGTTTCGGGTTTATCGTTGGGATGTTCACCCTTGCAGTTTGGATGTTCCCCCTTTTACTAACATTCCTGCATCGGGAAGATACTAGGGGGTACTATAATCCCTAGAAAGGGCTGTTGGTATCAGGGGGGAACCTCCCAAGCTTGTGGTTTCTGGGTGTTTTTTTTTTTTTTTTTGGGGGGGGGGGGGTGGCTGGCGGGTTGTTCCACGAGTATAAGGGGGGTCAGAAGCCAAGAAGCCCAGAGGCCGCTGCAACTTCGGCGACGCATGCAGCTTCTCCCACGAGGTCGCCTTTAGCCCTCCCCCGGCGATAAGGACGGGGTTTAGGGTTTAGGGTTTAGGGTTTAGGGTTTAGGGTTGTTTCTGTGCAGAGAGCAGCTTAGGGATTGAATTGGGGGGGGGGGGGGGGGGGGGGGGGGGGGGCGTTTCTGTAGAAAGGCGGCTTAGGGGCTGGTCAGCGTTGAGTGTGTTAGTGGCTCTTTGGCTTCATGACTTCAGGGGCTGGGTTCAGGGTAATAGAAGGGTCGGAAGCTACTGACAGCATTCCCTTAAGGGTCCCTATATACATTTTACTCTTCTACCCCCCCCCCCCAAGCCTCATTGTAAGGAAAAAGGCCGCGATATTCGAGGGTTTTGCTGAACTGAAACAGCTTTGCTGTCGCCAGGGCTTCGGCCTTGAAGTTTCGAGACTGGAGCGTAAACTAAACTAGCATCCCCTTCCGTGTACTCTGTGTGTTGGAAGCCTCTTTGCCGCGAAGCCATGAAGGGTCCGAGGGTTGAGAGGTGCATACACAGGGTTGAGGATCGGCGCAGCCTTTTCACCTGTCTGCGGCAAACCCCTAGATGCGTCTTCCCAACAAGCGCTGCAAACCATCCAACCAGACTTCCCAGAATCCCAGAACCTGCTAGCTAATTGTTAGCATACTCCTTGGTCATTTGGTTTTGGGGTCTCCAGATACCCTCCCTACACCCTAATTAGAACCTAGACCCTGAACCTTAAATCATCCGAAGCCCTTTATAAACCATAAAACCTAAAAACGAGAAGATGCCCCCCACAACCCAGAGGATTCCGCAGTCGCAGCCACCGCCGCAGCCCGGGGAGCGCGACGTCTGCCGGCATTTCCTGGAGGGGCGTTGCACCTACGGCCCCGGTCCACAGAACTGCCTCCGGGAGCGACTGCGGTTTAGGGCCTGCAGGGCTTCTAGGGCTTCTAGGGCTTCTAGGGCTTCTAGGGCTTCTAGGGCTTCTAGGGCTTCTAGGGCTTCTAGGGCTTCTAGGGCTTCTTTCTCGTAGGGCCTTATGGGGCGCCTTATGTGGGGCCTTATGGGGCTTAGGTTGGGGCTCAGGGCTTGCAACATATGTGTTTGCCCCAAGGCTGGTTCAAGGTGTCGAAGTCTACCACCATATGAAGCCTACGACTCACAACTGCCGATTTTTTGGGGTCCTTGTTTTAGGGGTGGAGGGGGTGTCGTTACCTTAGGGGTTGGGGGATGACATTGTCCTCATGTTAGTTTAGGCACGTGGGGCTTTGGAGACCCTCAGCCCTCAGGGTGTAGAGCTTTAGGGGTTACCGAAAGTGTGAACATAGCCACATGCAAGGAGTTCAGAGGTGCGATATATCCTTCAGGCATGTGGGGCGATGCACGACTGAGAATGTCATTCACTAAGCCGCAAAAACTGGTCATTTCATTCACTGAGCCCTGTTTACATCCTACACCCTAGACCCCAGGCCCTTTTCCCTAACCCAGAACCTAAACCCTAAACCTGCCTAAGCCACAGAACTGCATGTTTGCTGCAGGTCTTTTCCGGCTGAGCCCCCAAATCCTACAAATCTTCTCGCAGACCTTGAAGCCCTTTCACCCCACGCTTTAAACCTTAAACCCAAAAGCCGAATAACGCCCCCAAGCCCTAAACCCATAAGGGTGTAGGGTTTGGAGTTATGGGACTGATAGGAGCCCAAACCCTGAATATCCACACGCCCTAAAAACTCTGAATCCAGAGCATCCATCCATGGGTTGCGAAGCGGACGAATTGGCTGAGCGCCCTGCAGCGCTTGCAGGGTCTAAGCTCACACGACCCGTGCAGATTCTTTGCCAGAAGGCCTGCTCTGCGTGGACAGCGTACAAATAGGTGAAGAGGGAAGCCTGAAGTAGTAGGTTGAAGGGTCTAGGGCCCAGGACGTGGTGAGCTCCAATTTTCAGGCTCCCTCGCAACAAGCACTCGGCTTAGCACCCTGATCGGGATTGTGCCTTCATCTGCCGTACAAAAAGTAGTAGTGAAGATCTAGAAACAGCTGCGTTCTCAGATCGAGGTTTGTGCTTTGGGATTTGGGGGGGGGGGGGGGGGCCTCCGCCCATTGGTCTTGACTTTGTGCCTTGGTTCACTGGCAGACGCATGGCTGTCCGAGAACACTGAAAGCCAAGTTTCGAGGCTTGTGTTTTGGGATTTTCTGGGGCTGTTGTTTGGCTTCCATTCGTAAACCCCACTACATAGGCACAACTACTGGCATTTCTGCTGCTAGGTATACTGGGCAACTTAGCTTCCCCGTAAGATCCACAGGCGGGCAGGAGTTCCGTGGCGTCGCGCTGCTCGGCTCTAGCAGAACAAAATGAATGAAACGGCTGCCTTCGGCTGAAGGGGGTGGCCATCTCAAAACATTGCGCGTTTGATGGTGGAATGTTGGGAACTGAGGTTTCAGATGTAAGTTCTTTCGGTGCAGCATGCCGCAAGCCTGAGATAGCTGCCCCCTGTAAGCGGGTAAAAATCTGAAACGTCGTACATATTGCTATTGTTTATGTCTGTTTTGTCAAGGGGATCGTGAATGTGTTAAGGCCTGCCGCTTCCCACACACCCGTATCATTGAACGAAACCTGGAGGGCCGCGAAGTCCGCAGTTGAACACTTTGACAAATCCAGGACAGTCCCAAGGGATAAAGAAGCCTTGACAAGGCTTAATTGTCGTGCGAGTCCCTGTTTCTGGGGCTTCATTCCCCGGAACCCCTAAATCCACTAAACCCCCCCTAAACGCCTGAATCCCTGAATTTAATCCCCAAACCCCTGAACCCCTGAACCCTACACCCTCTTGAAAAACCTTGACCCATAAACCCTTAACTGAGCCTGAACCCTGCTTAGGACGTAGGGCAGCGATCCTCCATGCACTGACAGCATGCCACGATTCAGGGTTAGGCTTTGGGGTTTGGGGTTTGGCCACATTTGGGGTTTTGGGTTCAGGGTCCAGTGCGCAAGGTGGTAGTCAACAGAATAAGGCCGTATCCCCCTGCCCTGAGGTGTGTGCCCCAGCCGTGGTATTGGGCACCCAGATCCCACAATTCGTACAAGAAGGTACAACCAAGAAAGTGTAGGATTTAAGTGTGAGCATTTTAGGTAGGACCCCAAAGCATTCAACCCAAAAGGCCACCAACAAAACCTAAAGCCTAAGCAGAAAATCTTGACAGAGGCTTCCACGTGGACTTGGAAACGCGCTCTCGAGTCGCGTGACAAATGATGCCAAATGGGTTAGGGTTCTAGGGTGGTATTTTGGGTAGGAGCTCAAGGTTTTGTGTTATAGGGTGGCCGGGTTGATTTACTCAAGGCAGGTCATCAACTGGAATCGTATGTAGGAGTCTGCGCAGGAGCCTGTGGACTCTGTTCTGAGTCTGCTGCCAAGAAGACGAGGTTCAGGGTTTGTTTTGGGCTTAGGGCGCAGGGTTCAGTGTCTAGATCGGTGAAGGATTCATTCACTGGGCCTGACAACTATGTAAAAACAGGAGCCCAATAAACTCATAAGCCACCTTGAGCCCTGCACCCCTAAACCATATCACGGCCCTAGACCGTGTGACGCCCACGCCCCCTCTAAACCGACTGCAACCCTATAAGCCCTGCAATGACCCCTATAGGGTGCGAATGCCAGCTGAGACCCTAAGCCAACCCTCCATTTCCCCGAAGTCCACTCAAGTGGTGCGTCGACCAAGGTGGCAGACCTGCGTCGTCTTCTAGGAGTGGTTTAGAGTTGAGAGTCGAGGGTTTGGGGCTTTAGGGTCTAGGGATAGAGCCCAAGTTTTTTTGGGTTTGGGGTTTTCAAGTTTGTGTCTAGGGTCTACGCGGGCTTAGTTTGGGTTGGGGTTTTGGGTTTGGGCTTGGGGGGCTTGAAGGGCTTCGAGGGTTCAGAGAGTTTTTAAGAGGGTTTAGCGGCTTTCAACAGGGATGGTAGAGGGTCTAGGGGAGGGTGTGATTTCTATAAGGTTGTTTGTGCTTCAGGTATCAGGCTTGAAAGACAGATGCACATTTACATGTTGTAGGGGTTTAGTTTCTAGGGTTGCACGAGAACCAACCCACATACGCATACAGATTCGCATACACATGCAGGCACACGCACAGTATGTATGCCACGTGTGTGCATACATATTTGCTTATTGCCTTAGTACACACACACACACATGCAAACACGCGTGCGCGAACGACGCATTGTAGCTTGACAATCACCTTTTTGGTGTCCTCGCATCAGTGTCATAGTCATAGCCTATATCTATATATATAATAGATATAGATATAGATCTACAGTTTCTGCAAGAAGCTTCAAGTTCTTCTGTATTTCATGCACAATGCAACTAACCAAGCTTCCTAACAGACACGGGCCGCCCCTTCATATAACTACATATATACACACACACACATAATTGGATGTATACAGTTTTTGTTGCCCTAATGCACCCTAGACTAGACAAGGAGCAGCGCTGTCACCCACAACTGCGGTATGCTCCTTTCAGGCCATTTGGGTTCCTTCGGGCTCTTGTTTAGGGACTTGAATTTGTTTATGATTGGGTACCTATTTTGGGGTGTGTGGGTGGGCGGGCTATTTTACAGGAATAGGTACCGGGAATGGGGGGGACTACATTCCCCAAGTAGTTTGTTGTAAGAACCGACCCACATGTATTCGTTCTACGAAGTTCTATGTGTTTCCATCCGCATGCAAGCCCTTTTCGGGTCCTTGACTGAGCCATGAAACAGAAGGCCCTGTGTAGCTTGCCCTGGATACACGAGCGTAGAGTCCCGGTACCTATTTCCGAGGGCGCCCTGAAGCGGGGGGGGGGGGGGTTGCTGCTTTAAATGGGATGCAATATGGGAGAGTGGAGCGCCGCCCCCCCCCCCCCCCCCCTCCCCCTGTCCGGTACCTTTTTCTTTTACTTTCCTTGTCTTGTTTCGCATCACCGCGCGGGAGCAAAATAGTTGTGCGATCCTTTGTAGCAGAGTCGCCCCACCCCCCCAACATAGGAAAACTGCAAACAGGTACCGGTGCCGATTTAGAGTCCCCCCTCCCCCTCCCCCCCACATCCCCCCCTCGAGGGGCTTCTCATACGAATATGCTTTAATTCATTTTGGATCCCTATTGCAATTAACAGTATCTTCCTCAACTAAGGGGTATTGGGCTGTCTGATGTAGGATGACAATCCTTCCCTTGTGACTCCACAATCGGACGACCCCAACGATACTTGCCTGGAAGAGTTGAGTGGTGGTGCAGTGGTGCAGTGGTGCCATATTACTTGTGCTGCCAACCCGACTTGTAAGCACCCCTGAACCTCCAAAGTAGGGCCCTCGGAGATCCTATAAGCCCTAGAAGCCCTGGAAGTTCTGGAAGCCCTAAAAGCCCTGAACCCTCCACCCAACCCTCAGCCGAAGCCCCTGTGTTTAAAAACACGAGGACCACCTACCTGCTCACCGGTGGCCCCGACTAGCCGACTATGATGAGCCCCTTTAAGGGAAGAGAGAGGGGGAAAGGGGGGGTGGAAGAGAGCGGGGAAAGGGGGGGTTAGGGGGTCGGGGGGGTTGGGGCTCGGGGGGGAGAGGGGGTTGGGGGTTCAGAGGGGGTTAGGAGGGGGCTTAGGGTGGGGATGGTGGTGTAGTGGTACAGTCTTTTTTGTGCTCAGGGTTCAGGGTTGAGTTTCATACGGCTGGCGCGTGTTTGGTGGGTTGCTGAAACAAAACAGCAAAAACCAACCTAGGGTTCAGGTCTTTAGAGGTCTGCTGAGTCTGAGTTAGTGTGGCCTATAAGGCTTCCGCAAAAAGGTTCCTTCTGTTTTTGCGGCAACACGCGGTTCAAGAAAACACTGGACCTCAGGGTGCATTGTAGGAGTACACAGGGGCCCTG